CGGACCACGTGTCAGGGGCGGAAAATGGCTGCGGACCACGTGTCAGGGGCGGAAAATGGCCGGGGGCCACATGTCAGAGGCAGAAAAATGGCCGCGGACCGTGTCACGGGAGGGAAAATGGCCACATATCCTGTTCGTACCCCGAGGCAGAGTTCGCAAGCCGAGGCAAAATTTTGCAGCCGGAGCTGGTCGTAACCTGAAAAGTTCGTTAACAGAAGGGTTTGTAACCCGAGGTTCCACTGTATATGGAAAAAAAATAAGTCATGTTTTAACTATCTTTAAGGAGAAACAAGAGAGAGAAAAAGGGAAAGAAGTTGCTGCACTGGAGAAAGGAAGGGGAAGAATAAGTCATGAGCAGAAGAGGAAATAGAGAGAAAGAAAAAGAAAGAAAAGAAGGTCCTGTAGGGCCCTTAGCAAAAGGGTTAAATTTCAGCAGATAAGCAGAGTATCAAGGGAAAGTCACCCCCCAAATCCAGAGGTAAATTTAGGATTAAGGGTCGGCAAATGTTTGGCTGGCTGATTTGACTAGATGGAATTTTGTGATTGTTTTTCTGGTTTGCATTGTCCTTTGGGAAGGGCTTGTAACAATAATCACGATCATAAGTGGTTCAGGTGCTGGACTAGAAACTGGGAGACTGAGTTCTAGTCCCCTTAGACATGGAAGCCGACTGGGTGACTTTGGGCCCCTCATTCTCTCTCAGCCAACCCACCTCACACTCTGTGCATTTATATGGTTTCCCTCAGTGTTGATTCTGTCATGTATGGTATAATCATATTTCTTGTGGGAAAAATAGAGGGGGTATTCACCTTGAGTTCTGATGTCCCTTTTAAAGAGAGGGCTTGCCTTGCCACCCATGGCCAGCTGAGCCAAGTAATCAGCTATCTTTCATAACAAGATAATTTCTCTTCTCAGAAAAACTTACACTGGATCAATCAGTAATAGTTCGAACTCTCTTCTAAATCAGAGAATCTCTACTTTGAAGTCCTAAGTACTTATGGGGCTGGACTTCAACCCAAACCCTGGACACAAACATGGCTTCATAATTAGGTGGAGAATATTATTTGGGATCTAGGGAAGAAAACCTTTTATCTCCCCCTTTGTAATTCTGGAACATTGCCAGTATTCCTCTCCTGCCCCACTGCATGTGTAAAAAGTGCATTTAGAGAGAATGAATGAAGATAGGAGACTGACACTTTGTAAAATAGAGGGGGTATTCACCTTGAGTTTTGTAAAACACTTTGTAAAACAATTCTGGAGACTAGTCCTTGAAAGAAAGAAAACCAAAAGATACACCTTTATTCAGGAAGTTACATGGTGGCAGCAAAGCCAAGGTTGCCCATCTCTGCCTTAGAACTGGCATGGCATTTTCTTCATCCCAAGAGCAAGGAAGCCAGAAGAGTAAATACAACACTGAAAGTGTTGACAGCCCTCATAATTAACAGTCTGTTCAAGAGGAGGTGTAATATGAGAGATGCAATTACGCATTTGGCTGCAAAGAGAGCAAAGTCAAAACACTAAGTCGCTCTAATGTCCTTATGTCTGGTGCTTCTAGTGGCCAATAAATTGAGAGATGCAAAAAGCGAACGATGCCAACGTAGGACCTTCCAAGAAAGACTAGATTCAGGGCACTGTATGGACAAATGCTCAACATCGCTCAAGTAATCAGTTGTAGTTATTCTTCTCCATTCTCTTCGCCATCGTTGTTCCCTCTTATCTTCCATTTGCTAACATTTCATTTCTCCATGGTAATAAACAGCTTAGGACTGTAGTTTCCAAAATTTTTGACATACAATTCATTTATGCGGTTCTATTCTGTTTTTATGGGTTTCTCTTGAATGAATTTTTCTATGCTCATAAAGTGATTGATGTTGAGTAAATCCCTTTCCACACACCATACATTTATATGATTTCTCACCTGTGTGGATCCTTTTATGGGAAGTGAGGGAACCTGACTCAGTGAAGCATTTTCCACACTCAGTACATTTATATGGTTTCTCCCCAGTGTGGATTCTGTTATGTACAGTATAATGATGTTTTTGACTGAAGCTCTTTCCACATTCCTTGCATTCATACGGTTTCTCCCCAGTGTGGATCCTTTTATGGGAAGTAAGGTGTTTTGCAGAACGGAAGCTCTTTCCACAGTCACTGCATTTATATGGTTTCTCCCCAGTGTGGATTCTGTTATGTACAGTATAATGATGTTTTTGACTGAAGCTCTTTCCACATTCCTTGCATTCATACGGTTTCTCCCCAGTGTGGATCCTTTTATGGGAAGTAAGGTGTTTTGCAGAACGGAAGCTCTTTCCACAGTCCATGCATTTATATGGTTTCTCCCCAGTGTGGATTCTGTTATGTAAAGTATAATGATATTTTTGTCTGAAGCTCTTTGCACAATTCTTGCACTTATATGGTTTCTCCCCAGTGTGGATCCTTTTATGGGAAGTAAGAGAACTTGAACCTCTGAAGCTCTTTCCACACTGCTGGCATTCATATGGTTTCTCCCCAGTGTGGATCCTTTTATGGGAAGTAAGATCTTTTGCAGAACGGAAGCTCTTTGCACACTCACTGCATTTATATGGTTTCTCCCCTGTGTGGATTCTCTTGTGGCTACTAAGGTAACTGCTGGTTGTGAAACTCTCTCCACACTCCATGCACTTATATGGTTTCTCCCCTGTGTGGATCCTTTTATGGGAAGTAAGATTACTTGAATTTTTGAAACATTTTCCACATTCAGTGCATTCATATGGTTTCTCCCCTGTGTGTATCCTTTTATGGGAAGTGAGGGAACCTGACTCAGTGAAGCATTTTCCACATTCAGTACATTTATATGGTTTCTCCCCTGTGTGTATCCTTTTATGAGAAGTAAGGGAACCTGACTCAGTGAAGCATTTTCCACACTCCTGGCATTCATATGGTTTCTCCCCAGTGTGGATCCTTTTATGGGAAGTGAGGGAACCTGACTCAATGAAGCATTTTCCACACACAGTGCATTTATATGGTTTTTCCCCAGTGTGGATCCTATTATGGGAAGTAAGATGACTTGAATTTTTGAAACACTTTCCACATTCTGTGCATTTATATGGTTTCTCTCCTGTGTGGATCCTCTTGTGGCGACTAAGATGACTGCTGGTTCTGAAACTCTTTCCACACTCTATGCACTTATATGGTTTCTCACCTGTGTGGATCCTTTTAT